TGTCCTTGTGTACTAGAAGCCAGTCTCATGGGGGGAGTTAAATCTGTCCGTTACCTTTTAGTTGAATATTTCATTTCCAAACCCCAACATGCCGTCTTTCACCATCTTTTCTGAAACCTGGACTCTTCAGGGAAAGTATGTGCCGAGGTGGTATTCCAAGAGTTTTGTGGGATAGAAATCTCCTAAAATTCTGTTAAATTTGATGTCCGCCAGCCATTTGCACATAACATTTGAGCCTTTTGTGGAAGGAGCAGGCTATGGAGAGGCATGATTTTTTAACGTGTTTTGCAGTTTTTAATCATATATTTTGGCTTTGATTCATGTTTTGCTGATGTTTGCTTTGATCCTTTGGAGCTGTCCCTCCCCGAGTGCTGGATCGTAAAGAATCCCAACTACGAGGCAAGCCTAGTCCAGGATCGGCTAAACCTTCCCTTCCTTATTTCTCTCCCGCCACTCCTCCACCCCTGCCGCCCTTTATGATTCAGCTTTCAGAAGGCTCAGGTCATCTCTTCCGACTGTGTGACAGACAAGCCCAGCGAGAGTCTGGCCTATCTAATTGCTTTCATTACCTCTAACTTTCACCGTATCAACCGGTATAAGCTGCTGGAGACAAGGTTAGCAGAGTCATGATACAAATCGCCCTGTTCTGGCCCGCCTGGAGCATGACAGTCTAGCCTTTCCATCAGACCTGCGAGGCAGTCCGGGGCGAGCACGGGGCAGAGATGCGTTTCCGGGGCGTGGGGGGGGGGGAGGCGAAGCGCCCCCTCGGAGCGGCTTTCTCCGCGGGAGCGCGCGGCCGCCCCGGGGAAGGGCAGGGCAGGGCAGGCGGCCCGGGGCAGAGGCCCGGGCTGCCTGGGTGCGGGTCATAAGCTCACCAGGAGCTGGAGCCCGGCTCCAAGGGCTGCGCCCCGCCAGCCCCGCTGTGCCTGCATCTCTGGATTAGGCTCCCGTCCAACACGCATCTACCGTGCCCGGAGTCCCGCGGAATTCACTGGCGTTTATTACCGAGGAAGGTGGTTAAAGTAAGGCAGGCAATTGTTTTAAATCCGAGCATTTCGGTTTAATTGAGATGTGGATTAGTATAAAGAGGCAAGGATACCTTCCACACCAACTTCAATAAAAACGTGGGGAGGAAGAGGAAATGCCTTTATTTAGAATTCACACATGCAGGTTTGTTTCACAGTCGTCTTAGCTGGTCTTTTGATAGAATGTGCACTAACTTCTCACTGCGTTTCTGGTCTCTTTACAAGGTTCGCTTGCAGACTGTATATGTCTATTTACAAGGATAAACACCTTGACATGTGTTATACATCATTTTGAATTAATATTAATATTTAAATAATACACACACTTTATCAAACCTAGAATTTCCTTCTGAAAATAAAACTGCGGCTGAAAGCTTTTTAAAATGATAGGAGGAATGTTAAGGTATCTGTTAACTAATTTTTCCTTTAGCCCCCACTCCATTCCTCCTCCCTGCATTCCCAAAAGCCCCCTACCCATCCCACAAAACTGGGATTTAAGCCAGAGGAGCGTCAGTTTCAATAATTGTTTTGCTACAGCCTTTGTTTATCATGTACTTTGAATTTTATCTAAGGAATTTTTCTGGATTCTTCTCCTGTAATTGAGTATTTAGTGCATGAAGATAATTTTAACAAATAGACATGTTAAAGTGTGGTCAGCACTAAGTGACAAGAAGCATTGCTGGATACTTTGGACAGCTAATGTTTACTTCAAGATATTTTAAGCTCAAGTCAATAACTTGGGGTCCGCCCTGCAGCAAAATATTTGAAGTGCAACACCTTGGACACGTTTAATTATGGGGTACTAAGAAAGCCAGGTCTTCCAAGTAATTAGAAAATACTTCTTGGGAGACAGCCTAATCGCTTTCCATGGGGCACTTCAAGAAATTAACCTCAAGGTGCTTGTTAGAGCACAAACGCTTTAGATCAGGACTACTTGATCACTTTTTGTGCCCACTCACTGTAAACTATACAGGATTACAAAAAAGAGGGTGAGATCAAATGTGTGAAAGCAGAAAATTGTGTAATATTCTGGGTGATACAAAAGCAAGAGTTAAGAAAGCTGACGAAGGGAGGCTCTGAGTTTCAGCAACACGAACTTAAAGGTTCACGAGAAGCAGATCGAGTATCCCAGTCGGCTTTCTGCAAACTTCAAAATGTGAACTTCGACCCTAAACAAGTTTAGGTGGAAGTCAATCCCATTTCTTTCGAGTATTTGCGTGCGTGTATGCGGACTGGCCGTGTTCGGCCAATGACAGTAACCTATTTCTTTTACATTTCCATTTCTACCAGGCTGCTGAAGTTTCTTATGCCCACAGCCTCCAATGTTTTGCATTCCCCCCTTGAGAGCAGCTGTCTAGCACTAAAAATAGTGCCAAATGGTGCTTACCGACTGCTAAGTGCGCATCACTACTACCACGACTGACACGGCTGCTACTACTATTAGCAACAGAGCGAACCAAACAGCAGCGAAGAATAATGCGCCGGATGAGAGCAAGGTGCTGTTAGCTCCGGCTGCCCGGTTCTTCGCCTCCCCTGAAGTTGGTGCTCTCGCAAGTCCGCTTGATCTGCCCCAGGAACATGCGAGGTCTGCGGCGTGCGGCGGAGCCCCGGCGAGAGACGAGGCGGGCCCCATGCAGCCGCCGCGGAGGCCGGGGCCTCGGCGCGCCCGGCCCCGCTCTCCCCGCGCCCGCTACCCTGCCCTTCCCTCCCCTTCCCGGCGCGGCTCCGGGGCCGAGGCGAGCGGGGCGGGGGCCGGGCGCCCGCGGGGCAGGCGGCGGCCGGCGGGACGCGGCGGTCCCGGCTCCGGGCTGCGCCTCCTCGCGGGCCCGCGTCCTCTCCCGCCCCCGCGGCACGGCCGTGGCTTGCGACCCCCTCCCTCCCTCCCCCCCCTTTTCTCCTTACTTTTCCTTCGCGGTGGCGGCTGCCTTTTAAAAACAGCGCTAACCCCCTCGCGCGACACTGACCTCTGGGTGACTTTCACAAATTCAAGAGCAGCCGAGCAAAGACCCCGCAGAGGGCCTGGGGGGAACACTGTCCTGCCTTTCGCTCCCTGGGGCGGGGGGCCGGGGGTGCGGGGAGAGGCTCGCGCGTAAAAACAACAACAAGCGCCCTAGCGGGGCCAAGGAAGAGCCTCTCGAGAAAGTCGACGGCCGGCCCTGCCTAGAACGACGGCCAGCGCCCGCTTCAGAGTCCTGGCCGTCTTTAGTGCTTTGCACCATTATTTTCAGATTAAAACTGGGAACAACAACAACAACAATAATAATGATAATTCCCTAATAATATATTTTGTGTTAATCATTTGATTGTCTTGATTTAAAGTGCTTGGGGAAAGGGGGAGCCTCACATTCCCCTGCCTCTCAATGAAAAACCTCTCTGTTTAATATTGTTTTTGAAGCTGGAATAAATGATCAAAGGCTCTTGTCCAGCGTTCAGCTCCACGATTCAATTATCATACCGTCTTATGTTTATTGTACAGCACCTACCAGTAATAACAGCCCCAGTGCAGGCTGGCTACTTGGAACACAAACATAAACAGGAACCCGTGATGTTTGGCTGCCTTGTCCTGCAGAATTCGGAATTACAAAAAGGAAGACGGCGCGGGCTGGGGGCGAAGAAACATTAAGACAAAAAAAAAGAAAGAGTGCGAGAGAGACTGCTCTAAAATTAGCTGCCCTTGATTCCCCCCCCCCCCCACACACACCCATAAATCGGTAGCACAAAAAGGTCCCTTTGTATCGCACTGGTTCATTTAATATTATTTCTGCAAGGAATTGTGGGATTTCGCCCCCCTTTTCGGTCTTCCTCTCCTTCCCCCTCCCAACTCCAATTGTAAACATTATGGCATTTTTAATGTGTACGAGAGCCCTTCTTCAGACAAAGATAGAGAAGGAAACAGATCAGCAAGGCAAAGGGTGATGAATCCATCCCTTGTCTAGAGGACTAAGGAATTTCTGCATTCCTTCTTTAAAAAAAAAAGCTTCTCGAGAAGAGAGGATGCTGCCGCTTTAAAATCAGGGGGAGGGGGCATGCAGAGACGGGAGGAGGGGGACTACTCCTGTCATTTACTAGAGTGCTACTGTATCACGTGTGGAAGAGCCTATTCTGCCATTGGCCAAAGGCACGTGTCTAGGATACCGGCCTTGCAACGTCACTTGAAGGGCTCTATTAAAAATAAGAACAAAAATCCAGAGTGAAAGTATTTCAGGTTCAGTTTAAGTGGCTTCTAAATTCACGCCCCCACTACCGAGAGCCCGGGCGAGCGAGCCGGGCCAGGTGAGAGAGGTCCGCCCTCGCCCCCACCCATGCGACTCGGAGAGCTTGGCTCGGCGGGGCGGGAGAGGCAGGGGCCGGCGGGGCTGGTCCAGATGCCTCTGCGGGTCTCCAGCCGGCGCTTGCGGCGCGCCGGGTAGAGCGAGGAGCGAGGCGGGCGCCTTGGCCAGCCCGGCACACGGCGCCGCACGGACTTTCTCCGCCTGCGAGGATCGTCACCATCTTTTCTTACTTAACTGCTGCTCCCGCAAAGAGCCCGGCGGTGCCTTGTCGGTCTCGCCCTCGGAAGCCGGACGAGCGGGGGGGCGGGGGGGCTGATGAGAGTCCCGAGGATGAATACGCTGCGGGGCGAGGAGCGCAGGAGGGGGCTGCAGGACTGAGAGGCGAGCAGGGGGTGTCGCGGGGAACCGGCCACGGCGCTAGAAGGCGGCGGCGGCGGCGGCAAGGATTCTAGCCATCCCTCGCGCCCCCGCGCGCGCGCGCGCACACCGCGCCGGTTCCTTCGGCGAAGTCGGGACCTGGATCGCTGAGCGGAGGCGGGCGAGCGGGGTGCGTGCGGGGAAGGGGCAGCCCCGACGCGCGCGCAGACAAAGCGGGCGGGCAGCCTCCGGGCACCCGCGCGCGGCAGCATGGAGGAGAAGGAGCAGCGCCCGGCAGACGACGGCGCCGAGCAGCCGCCGCCGCCGCCGCCGCCGCCGCCGCCAGCGCCAGCGCCAGCGCCGGAGGAGTCGAGCGGCGGCAGCGACGGGGAGCCCGCCCGGCGGAGGGCGATGCTCCTGCCCCGGGCGCTCCAGGCGCCCGGCAACCACCCGCACCAGCACCCGCCGCACCGGATCACCAACTTTTTCATCGACAACATCTTGCGGCCGGAGTTCGGGCGGCGGAAGGACGACGGCACCTGCGGGGCCGGCAGCGGCGTCGCCGCGGACCAGCAGCCGACTCAGCAGCAGCAGCAGCAGCAGCAGCAGCAGCTTCTCGGCGCCCGGAGCCCCTCGGCGGCGCCGACCTCTGGCTCGCTGGCCGAAGGCGGCGGCGGCGGCTCCAAAGCGCTGGCCCCGGCCAAGAAGGGAGGCGACGCGGGCGAGCTCGACGGAGCCCTGAAGCCCCGCGGCGGGGGCGGCGGCAGCGGCGGCGGCGATCTGTCGCTCAGCTCGGATTCGGACAGCTCCCAGGCCAGCTCGTTCCCCAGCGGGCAGCCCATGCTGTGGCCCGCCTGGGTGTACTGCACCCGCTACTCGGACAGGCCTTCGTCAGGTAAGGGGCGGCTGCGGAGCGGCTCGTTCGCCCCCTCGGGAGGGGTCGCCAAGCTTTTCCGGCAGCCCCCTCCCTCTTCCCCGAGCAGCCGTCGCCGGCCCGGAGCAGCACCGCCGGCCGCTGCCAGAGCTCGCTCTGGCGGGCGGGCGGGGGGGGGGGGCGTCTCGTACCGGTCCGGGCTTTAACACGAGGCAATTTGGAAAGTCGTGTTACTATATACATATCTGTCCAAGGGAGGGGCGGCAATAATGGGAGGGATTTAATCGCGTGAGGATAACTCAGAGAGGGCAGAAGACGGCGAAATGCTGCGCCCGACACGCACACAAAGCGATTTCTGGCAGTCCAGAGCAATGCCGAGCTCTTGCAGCAGAGCAGCCTGGGCGGAAGGTGGGGGTCCGCTTGATTTCTCCCTCCTCCATGCTTCCAAAATTGGGAGCGGGCGTGTGCGTGAAACGGGCGATATTATGTTAGCGCTCCTCGGCAGGCTGCCCATCGGCCCCCGGGTCTGCGGCCAGAGCAGCTGCCCGCGGGGAAGGCCAGGGAGGGTCCCGGGGCAGCGCCGAGGAGCCCGCAGCGCGGAGCAGGCCGCGGCCACTCGGCCCATCCTTCGCGCTCTGCTGTCCTTACTTCCGCGCAGAGCCTCGCCGCACGAAGGGGCGCGGGAAGTTCCTTCTGGGGCGCTGGGACGGAGGAGAGGCTGGCCTGCTGGGCTGAGGAGGGTGTGTGGGGCTCCACAGGCCGTGCCTCGCAAAGCAGTCCCGGGCCCGGAGATGCCGTCCGCGGGGAGCGCCCCTCTTTCTCGCCAGGGAGAGCAGAGGCTGTTTTGCTCCAAGGTGAGGAGAATGACGAGCCCGCTCAGTGTCGTTTTCTCACTGGAAAACAACCGGATCCTGCCTCTTGCTTTATTCTTCTGAGTGGACTTTGCCCTTTGTTTCCAGACCTTTTATTGACGAATAAATGAGTTAAGGATGAGTTAGGCAGCAGCCCCCTTCGCTGCCGGAGCGTATTCCCGTCTGATTCGAAATTTGCTCCATTGTTCTCCCGTCTCCTCCTTTGTTAATATTTAATTATCACAGAGCCTTACCCTGGTCCAGGCCAACGCGAAAGTTAATTCCTTCCGAAGGATGCCGCTAGCGTGGAGATAATAATGCAGAGCATAATTATTGCCATTTGGGGTTGCAACATTTGGACAAAATACCAACGCGGCAGGGCGATTTAGTTTAAAACAAACATTTAGAAAGGCCTGCGCCTTCCATGCCACAAGCAAACGGAGATTGTAAAATCTTGGGTCGACGTTAGAGGAATAAAAATCCAGCTTTCCTCTCGCGCAAAGGATGCGATTCCTGTTCTTAAGGAAAAGGAGAAATCGCCTGATGGCAGGGGACGTTTCGGCGTTTAACATGCGGGGCTTGCATAAAAGAACCGAGGAATAGAAGCTCTGGTAGGGAAGCGAGTTACACCCACAATGATTTCTGAGTCTTTTCTAGAGATTAAGAAAGTAGGCAAGATGTTTTATTGTTATTGTAGCTCAAGAGCAGCAGTGTCTTTTCTTTTCCTTTATGTAATTCATTTGGTATTCATACATTTCCGGCGGTTGTGCGTGTGCACTGGAGTAAAAAACAACAACAACAACCGGGATAACCCCGGGTATTTTTCAAAAGCCCGAGAGTCTTTTCGCTAACCCTTTGGAAGCGCTGGCTCGCGAGGAAAAAAAACAGCTTCCCTCCCCCCTCCCCCTCCCCCTCCCTCCCCCTCCCTGCCCGCCCGCCCGCCTCCTCCCGCAGCCCCGGGATCAGAGCCTCAGTCGCGCTCGCCTCCCCCACGGCAATTCGCCAGCCTCGTCCTTGCTCAGGACGGGCCGGAGCCGCGGCCGAGACGCGCCCCTCGCACGGGCCCTCCCGGGGACGCGGCTCCCGCGGACGCACGGAGCGGGGCTCAGGAAAGGGCCTCGTCCGCTGCGCCGAGGCGCGCCGAGCCAGCCTGCTGCCCGCCCGACGGAGCGCCGCTGCCCGCTGCCCGTCGCGCCGGCGCCCCAGCGCCAGCCCGGCACCGGCCGCGAAGGGGCGCCGAGGGCCACGTGCCCTTCGCCGAGGCTGCGGGCCGGGCGGCCAGAGGCTGTCAGGCGAGCGGCCGCCCGCCCCCAGCCGAGCCGAGCCGAGCCGGTGCTGCAGCC